AAATTTGAAAATTTGAAATTTTTGTTTTAATGATTATTTGAATCATTCAGTGACATAGTACAAAGGTTAAAGAGGTTTGAGACATTAGGTGTTCATGTTTCTCCATAAAATAGAATTTTTGTAGTGGGTTTGCCCACTAATTAAGTAATATATGAAATTTAGATAAATTAATTGTTTGGAAATTAGAAATGATGTCAATGTACCATGAAAATGATTTTGACAAACATTAATACAAATCTAGAATGTGATTAGGTATTGTTTTATCAAAAATAAAGAGCACAAACTTCTGATTATAGCATTTTCGAAAAACTCAATTTGTTTGTAGTGGTTAACCCACAAATTTCAAGAAAAATTCGAAAATATGAAAATTTTGTTTTGATGCATATTTGCATCATTCAGTGACATAGTACAAAGGTTAGAGAGGTTTGAGACATTAGATGTTCATGTTTCTCCATAAAATAGAGTTTTTGTAGTGGATTTGCCCACTGATTAAAAGGTATATGAAGTTTAAATAAATTACATGTTGGAAAATTAGAAATGATGCCCATGTACTAGGTAAATAATCTTAAAATAAATTAATACAAATTTATAATGTGATTAGGTATTGTTTTATCAAAAATAAAGAGCACAAACTTTTGAATTTAGCATTTTCAAAAACCTCGATTTTTTCGTAGGGGCTAACCCACAAATTTCAAGAAAAATTAGAAAATAGGAAAATTTTGTTTTAATGCATATTTTAATCATTCAGTGACATAGTAAAAAGGTTAAAGAGGTTTGAGACATTAAGTGTTCATGTTTCTCCATAAAATAAAGTTTTTGTAGTGAATTTGTCCACTGATTAAGTGGTATATGAAATTTAAATAAATTATATGTTTGAAAATTAGAAATGATGCTCATGTACTAGGTAAATAATCTTAGCATACATTAATATAAGTTTTGAATGTGATTAGGTTTTGTTTTATCAAAAATAAAGAGCACAAACTTCCGAATATAGCATTTTCGAAAAACTCGATTTTTTCGTTGGGGTTAACCCACAAATTTAAAGAAAAATTTGAAAATTTGAAAATTTTGTTTTAATGCATATTTGCATCATTCAGTGACATAGTACAAAGGTTAAAGAGGTTTGAGACATTAGGTGTTCATGTTTCTCCATTAAATAGAATTTTTGTAGTGGGTTTGCCCACTAATTATGTAGTATATGAAATTTAGATAAATTAACTGTTTGAAAATTAGAAATGATGTCAATGTACCATGAAAATGATTTTAACAAACATTAATACAAATATGTAATGTGATTAGGTATTGTTTTATCAAAAATAAAGAGCACAAACTTCTGATTATAGCATTTTCGAAAAACTCGATTTTTTCGTAGGGGTTAACCCACAAATTTCAAGAAAAATTCGAAAATATGAAAATTTTGTTTTGATGCATATTTGCATCATTCAGTGACATAGTACAAAGGTTAAAGAGGTTTGAGACATTAGATGTTCATGTTTCTCCATATAATAGAGTTTTTGTAGTGGATTTGCCCACTGATTAAGTGGTATATGAAATTTAAATAAATTACATGTTGGAAAATTAGAAATGATGCTCATGTACTAGGTAAATAATCTTAGCATACATTAATATCAGTTTTTAAATTGATTAGGTATTGTTTTATCAAAAATAAAGAGCACAAACTTCTGAATATAGCAATTTTGAAAAACTCGAGTTTTTCGTAGGTTCGTAGGGACCCACAAATTTCAAGAAAAATTCGAAAATTTGAAAATTTTGTTTTAATGCATATTTGAATCATTCAAGTGACATAGTAAAAAGGTTAAAGATGTTTGAGACATTAGGTGTTCATGTTTCTCCATAAAATAGAATTTTTGTAGTGGGTTTCCCCACTAATTAACTGGTATATGAAATTTAGATAAAATAACTGTTTGAAAATTAGAAATGATGTCAATGTACCATGAAAATGATTTTTACAAACATTAATACAAATCTAGAATGTGATTAGGTATTGTTTTATCAAAAATAAAGAGCACAAACTTCTGATTATAGCATTTTCGAAAAACTCAATTTTTTCGTAGGGGTTAACCCACAAATTTCAAGAAAAAATCGAAAATATGAAAATTTTGTTTTGATGCATATTTGCATCATTCAGTGACATAGTACAAAGGTTAAAGAGGTTTGAGACATTAGATGTTCATGTTTCTCCATAAAATAGAGTTTTTGTAGTGGATTTGCCCACTGATTAAAAGGTATATGAAGTTTAAATAAATTACATGTTGGAAAATTAGAAATGATGCCCATGTACTAGATAAATAATCTTAAAATAAATTAATACAAATTTATAATGTGATTAGGTATTGTTTTATAAAAAATAAAGAGCACAAACTTTTGAATATAGCATTTTCAAAAACCTCGATTTTTTTCGTAGGGGCAAACCTACAAATTTCAAAAAAAATTAGAAAATAGGAAAATTTTGTTTTAATGCATATTTTAATCATTCAGTGAAATATTAAAAAGGTTAAAGAGGTTTGAGACATTAAGTGTTCATGTTTCTCCATAAAATAAAGTTTTTGTAGTGAATTTGTCCACTGATTAAGTGGTATATGAAATTTAAGAAAATTATATGTTTGAAAATTACAAATGATGCTCATGTACTAGGTAAATAATCTTAGCATACATTAATATAAGTTTTGAATGTGATTAGGTTTTGTTTTATTAAAGAGCACAAACTTCTAAGTTTGAAATACAGGTTTCATTACTCATAAGTCATAACCAATCACGAATGGATTACAGCATCACGAATTGTTATTGTTTGATCGGAATAGCTACCAGACAAAGGTTTAAGAGGAATTAAATGGTCGGGTCAGGTCTGGTCGGGTATGAACGGATTTAATAGTATTGATTAGGACAATCTTCTGATGTCTGAACCGAAAAAATGTAAACCGGATACTTAGCCTGCATACACACGTCGTTGACCAAACCACATTTAATTAATGAAAAGTAACGTAGTAAGAAAGGAAAGAGAAATTAATAAACAGAAGAATTTTCAGGAAAATTCTGAAGTTGGCGGCGACAGTTTCCTCTGGGTTTGCAGAGCTATTCCTATTCCTACCTTTCTCTCGAAGGAAAGCTCTCATCTTTCACTCAAGATCACGTTCCCCGTAAGATTATCTATCAAACCCACTTTCCAGATTTTCATATTGTTCTTCCTTTTTAGATTCCTACATATCCGAGATAAAGCTCCCTGATTTGAGATCTCTAATTGATGTTTCGAGATTCAATGGTTGGTGTGTAGCTTGCTAGATCGAGAAGCACTGATTTATTATGATATTGCAATTATAAGAAAGTTTACATAGACTATTCTAGAGCCGATAATACTACCTGTCTTATGAAAATCTATGTCTAACTGCATCATCCGAGTCGTCCTATGAAGATCTCCTTACCAGATTTAAGCCTAGCTCCCTTTTGAATTAGTCTCAATTTTTTTTTTTTTTTTGCACATGGATCTGGTCTCAAAAATTGAAAGGCTATTTTAGTCTTTATATTGCATTATGGTTTCATTAGCAAATTCTCATGTGTTTTTGTGTGATTGATTGTGAAGGGGCTTATTCGGTGGTATATCTTGGTTTACAAGATGGCGTCTGCGACTCTTAGGAGGAGGCTTCATCACGGGGATGTAGATGGGAGAAAGTATGAACGTTATGATGCTACAACAGACTCTGATACTTTAAGTGAGCCCTTGTTGGGAAGTAGTAGTAGTAGTAGTGGTAATAGTAAAGCTGGGTACAATGAGGTTAGTGTTTTTAATGTGGCTTTTTCATTTCCAAATAGAAATGAGAAGAACTCTTTTATGCATTGTTATGTTCTGTAATTTGTCCTTTTAGGAGGAGCGTACTCTGGAGGATATTTGGGAAGAAGAACGGAAGAAACAGCAAAGTCATTGGACATTAATCTTTTCTCAGTTGATTGCACAATGGGCTCAGTGGATAGGTTTGGTCTGGTTATCTTGTTTACTACCAATGATTGTTTTAAAAGAAGGATTTTTATTTCAACTTGTTTTGTGGTTTTGTAGCCAAAGTTGTGTTTGGATCTGGCTCGCTTTTTGGGAGGTTTCTCTCTCTGCCTCATATAGGCTCTGGAGGAAGGCTTTTGCCACCTCCTCTTAGCATGTTACAGGTATCGATCTTATTTTGTGAACATCATATAGATCAATGTGACTGTTACTGCCATTTTGATGTTCATTATGTATTTGATTACTTCTTACTAGGAAGAAAGGCTGAGAAACATTAAGAGAAGAATAGAAATACCCTTTGATGGATCTCGAATGGAGCATCAAGTAAGTGTTCTCATGGATTCTCTGTATGCTATACTAATTCTACATATCTAAAAATTTGTGGAGATTTATGTAATGGAATGATTTGTAGGATGCACTTAGACAATTATGGAGGTTAGCTTATCCACAGAGGGAGCTACCACCTCTTAAATCAGAACTCTGGAAGGAGATGGGATGGCAAGGAACAGACCCTTCAACAGATTTTCGGTATAGAATATTGTAGATTTGGATCTTCTTCATTACTAGTCATTTTACTGATGATTGGTTTTTTTTTTTTTGTCAAACCTCTGATGATTGGTTTCATAAATGGTTTTGTAGAGGTGGAGGATACATATCACTTGAGAATCTAATCTTCTTTGCCAAGACCTATCCGGTTTGTTATGTTTCTCCGATTCACATATACATCTTTGATACCACAACATATCTAACAAGAGTTCTCTGCCTTTTCATCTCATGATAGGAATCATTCCAAAGATTGTTACATAAACAAGATGGAACCAGAGCTGAATGGGAATATCCTTTCGCGGTCGCTGGCATCAATATCTCATTCATGCTGGCACAAATGTTAGATCTCCAATCAGGTAAAAATGCTCATGAAACTAAGTAAAAACCAATGGTATCAAAGTGTTGAAATGTGTTTGGGTGTTTCAGGTAAACCGTCAACGGTTGCTGGGATAAGGTTCTTGGAGTTTCTGGAGGAAGATGAAATGGCGTTTGATAATCTTTACTGTATAGCTTTCCAAATGATGGATGCACAATGGCTTGCTAAACGAGCTTCTTACATGGAATTCAATGTAAATAAATGTCTTTGAACCAAGCTTGTTTACAGTTTGTATTCTCGGTTTGGTTATGTGTTAACCGGTTCTTGTGAATAAAATTGGCAGGAAGTTCTGAAGTCAACGAGGACACAATTGGAACGTGAGCTGGCACTGGAGGATGTTTCGAGCATCAGAGATTTGCCTGCTTTCAATCTATTGTATAAATCATAATTTCTGTTTAAATTTCGATTTTCTTATAACTTCTCTGTATTATGTAATAATTTGATATATTAAGTGTAATCAATAATCAGTTTTTTTTCCTGAAATTGTTCAGTAAATATATGTTTAAAAAATAAAGTTAAACTAAGAATTAGCATTATTATATAGTCCAACAAGTATTTACTTTATTTCTCAAAACTGGATTTGGTTTTTGCTCTTAAGGATCTCAATTCAGATAAATGTTAGGATTTAGGTACCCAAACTTTACTTGTTCAGACTTGAGCCTCAAGATATAAGTGAAAAGAAGAAGAAGACCAAGTAAGATGGTTTCTGACCTATACATCACTAAATCTTTGGTAAAAAAAAAAAACTGTTTCACTTACTCTCAATCCCCCGCATGGTCTTCCCAATACCTGTATAGGCTTAGGCTTGTAAAGTTATTCCAAAATGTTTTCCATGTTGCAGAGAGACTTGTAGTTTACACTCTGCTCAAGGGTTTTCGTCTAGCTGCTACTAATGGCTCATCTCTTGGACCTCTTTGTGGATGGAACTAAACAGAGCTGTTGTGATATACCGCTCCCCATGGCTTGGAAATAGAACCTGTTCTCATGAAAATCTATATATTAGAGCCGAACCTAAACCACTAACATGGTTACTGGAAACTGAAATCTATTTGTCCTCACTGTGATAAGTTTTCCTGCATTCTCAGCTCTTTTAGCCAAGCTGATAGCTGCTACTGCAGCTGCTCCAGACGATATCCCAACCTAATAATAAGTATAATAAACACAATGTTATGTAAAAGAAAGAAGAGTATACAGAACAATAAACAAGAGATGTTATCTAGTATAAGTCTATACCAGTAACCCTTCCTCCAAAGCTAGTCTTCTCGCCATCTCAATTGCTTCCTCATTGCTTACCTATACCGTTTCAAATGAGCATCATCTATATATATTCTCTAGAGCTGTATCATTTTAAAATGTGAGAATATTACTAACCTTAAACACTTCATCTAGTAGCTTAACATCCAAGATTCCTGGTACATAACCTGAAAAGACATGTAGCAGTTCTTGTAAGGAAGATGCTACTACACTTAATGAATTTGCAAGTCTAATCAATGCTCCTTACCAGGACTATCTCCAGATATAACACTTCTTTCTGATGGTTCAACGCCAACTACCTATGTTTTAAAGGGTTTAGGACTAAGGAAACCATAAGACTAAACCAGAAAGAAAGAGAAAGAGAAAAGACCTTAATATCATTGTTCATCATCTTCAAGAAACTTCCTGTACCTGTTACAGTACCACCAGTTCCAATTCCGGCAACAAATATATCAACATTACCCATTGTATCTTCCCATATCTCTGGTCCTGTAGTCTCAAAGTGGATCTTACCCAAAACAAAAAACATAAATTAGGCCACAAAACCAACAAAGAGTAAAAGCTTGATAAGTTTTGATACCTTTGTATTTGCAGTATTATCAAACTGCTGAAACATATAAGCGTTCTTAGTCTTGAGAACAATCTCTTTAGCCTTATCCACTGCACCTTTAAGACCCTTCTCTGGACTCGTTAGCACAATCTCTGCTCCTAATGCGCGTAAAAGCATCCTTCTTTCAACGTTTATAGAAGCTGGCATAGTCACTATAAGTTTGTACCCTTTAGCTGCAGCAACAAAAGCAATCCCTAGGCCAGTGTTTCCCGTTGTAGGCTCTACTAACACACTCTGCTTTGATACTAACACAATCAGTAATCTACAAATGACACAATATCAAAACATATAAACATATGAAAACCTTTCTAGGAGTTATGTCTCCTCTGTCTTCTGCCTCGTTAATCATGCTAAGACCAATCCTGCAGAACAGAGACATAAGTCAATTAACAATCAAACAACCTAGTTTCAGATATGAAAGATAGAATCTTTGGCTGACCTATCTTTGACGCTTCTACAAGGCTCCATTGATTCAAGCTTTGCAGCAACATCAGCCACACACCCATCAGTGACTCTATTCAGATACACCATTGGTGTGCTTCCAATCAACTATACCCAAAATAACCCAATTTCAAAAACCAGTCTAATAATCATAAAGGACTAATCTTTGGTTATAACGTTGAGTCCTTTGAATGAACTAACTTGAGTGACATCTTCAGCAATGTTGACCATTTCTGATTCCTCTGTTCCTATTTCATCTTCAGCTACAGTGGTAACTGGAGGCTGAGGAGGAGGAGGAGGTTTGGCTTTGGATTTAGACTTCTGTTTTGTCCCGGTGGAGGCTTTTGAGGAGACGGCGGCTACGACGAGGGATGATGCCGGAGCTCTGACTGAAAATGATGATGATGGAGATTCATGGTTAAAGGATAAGAAACGGTGTCGTTTTGAGGTTATTAGAGAGAAGGAATAGTGAGGAAGAAGATGGAGGAGGGGAGGAGACGATAATGCCATTCTTCGTCGCCGGTGAGGTTTAAGAGATTAGGTTTCGTTTCTCTTTAATTCTTCTTTTTTTATTTTTTAACGCTAGATTTTTTTCCAAAAACATATTCAAATATTTTTAGTTTGGAACGTACAGATGTCGTTCCGACAAATACTGTAATAAAGATATTTACTTTTTATGTCGGCCCAACTAACTGTAATAAAATTTTAACAGCTTATAAATAAACATGAAAATAATTAAAAACAAAAAAAAATAAATTTATGATTAACCATCAATTATAGATACAGTGATTAAAAACTTTCTATAAACTAATTATGTAATAAGATCGATTATGTTGTGATCAAGGTACCTTAACGTCGTTTCTAATAAGATGAGGCTAAGAAATCAGAATTTAATTAAATATGTTTAAAGATAATATTATTTAAGTCATCTATCTCACACATGTCGCTCTCATCACATTGCTTTAATCTTCGTCTCGAAGTATTGGATTCATGATTCTTTCCTTATAAATACTCAACCACGTTAAACACGTTAAGCACTGAAAAGAAACTAACTGAGACAATGGCACTCAAAGCGATTCTCTTTCTTGGTTTGCTTCTCGCCGTGATATCTTCTTCTCCGATCACCGTCGATGGTGGATCAGATTGTCCGAAAGCTTCCACTTTTGGACGTGGAAGCTTTCCCGATGGTTTCTTGTTCGGTGCTACCACTTCTGCTTTTCAGGTAAATTCTAATTTGGATTTGGAAGTCAAACATTGTTGAATCGCCGTTGACTTTTTAGCTGAATCTACTCTCTGGTCCGGTGAACAGAGTCTTGACTTTTTTAGATAAAAGTTTTCATTTTTTTTCAAACAGTAAAACAGGGTTTCATTATGTAGCTTTGTAAGTGTGGTAAATAATGTTTAGAGTCTCAAATCCAGTTTAAAGCAATCGAATTTGGTATTAATAGTGAAATGATTGAAGCTTATAAGTGAAAGCTTTATCCATTAATAGTGTACTGTAGACCAATATGTGATTTTCAAGTTCCTAATTTTAGCTTAATATAGCTTTGTAAGTGTGGTTAATAATGTTAAATTCACCTAAGAGTCCTCTCTCATGCTCTGTTTTCAATGTTGACTTATTGTTAAGCTTGCCCCAAATTTTGTGAATTCTGAAAGAGACTTTGTTTCTAATGTTGATTGATTTGATTTGTGTAGCATGAAGGTGGACCAGAGGAAGGAGGCCGAGGTTTGAGCATTTGGGACTCATTCACTCATATACATTCAGGTCTTTCCTCCCCTCTTCTAATCAATCAGAAGATTATGAAAAAAATGTTACTAAATGATTTATGATTTGTCTATGTACAAGTCATGAGGCTAATTCATGAGAATCTGATTTAAATCTTGCAGAGAAGAACAATAACCTTGATGGTAGGTTGGGAGTTGATTTCTATCATCATTACAAGGTATATATTCGATGTTGAATGAACAGTTTTATCTATAGACTTACAATCATGTTGTAAGTGTGTAAACAGCTAATGGTTGATCTTGTTTCCTTGAAAATTTTGCAGGAAGATGTTCAACTATTGAAAAAGTTGAACATGGATGCCTTTAGGTTCTCCATTTCTTGGTCAAGAATCTTTCCTCGTAAGACCAATATTTCAATTCTGTAGTTCATGATTTATTCATTTGCAATTGTATGAGATTCCTGATTCTTTAATCTTAACAATCAGATGGGAAAAAGGACAAGGGAGTGAGTGAAACCGGAGTCAAATTCTACAATGATCTTATCAACGAGCTCATTGCAAATGGTCAGAACTATCAAATCATATCAAGTCTCCTTTTGCCCTTTAAACATGTAGCTAAACTCCCATTCTTGATGCAGGTGTAACGCCTGTGGTTACATTATTTCATTGGGATGTACCTCAAGCCCTTGAAGATGAGTATGGTGGTTTCTTGAGTGACCGTATCTTGTAAGTCCTTTAAGCCTCCAAGATCTTAGTTTTTGCTTTATGTTCACTGATCATAGATTTTCATACTCAATTGTATGGATAGAGAGGACTTCCGGGAGTTTGCAAAATTTGCTTTCAATGAATATGGTGATAGAGTGAAGCATTGGGTTACAATAAACGAGCCTTATGAGTTTAGCATTGGTGGATACGGCACTGGAGAGAAAGCCCCAGGAAGGTGTTCTAAACACGTCAATGAGAAATGCGTTGCGGGTGATTCAGGACATGAAGTCTACACCGTAAGTCACAACTTGTTGTTGGCTCATGCAGAAGCTGTTGAAGAGTACAGAAAATGTGCAAAGGTGACATCTCTTATGATACCAAAATATATTAAAGTTTCTATTGATCTAATGTGTGGATTCAAATCAAAACAGTGCAAAGATGGGAAGATTGGAATAGTCCAGAGTCCAATGTGGTTTGAGCCTTACGATAAGAAGTCAGAGGAGGTAGTGAAGAGAGCTATGGATTTCACTTTAGGCTGGTGAGTAGTCTTATAAGAAAATTAGCTTTTAGCTGTTTGGATTCTGATAGTTTCTTGCAGGCATTTGGAACCAATAACACATGGAGATTACCCTCAGACCATGAAAGATGGTATTGGTGCTAGATTACCATCGTTTACAGACGAGCAGAAGGAGAAACTGAAGGGTTCTTATGATTTTGTTGGTGTCAACTACTTCACTTCTGCGTTTGTTTCTCATGTGGAGGATGTTGATCAAGAGAAACCGAGCTGGGAAGCTGATTCTCGCTTCAAGTTACATTGTATGTTCTTCTTTTCTAACCATTACATTTTTTTTGATGTTTAGTGTTTTATAATCTTTTCTTTTTTGGTCTTACTTGCAGTACAAAATCCAGATGGGTATAAGATTGGTTCTCAGGTATTATATATGTGTCATCAACAAGATATTTTGAGCTTTTTTCTGCAGACAGTTTCTCATGTATTACTGATGATGTTTCAGCCTGCTACTGCTAAATATCCAGTGTGTGCTGATGGGTTAAGAAAAGTTTTGAAATACATCAAAGAGAATTACAATGACCCTGAAATCATGGTCACTGGAAACGGTAAGCCATTATCTCTGTTCTAGCTGTTACCTTAAGCATGATATGAATGGGCATGCCTATTGCATTTTGCAGGATACAAGGAGACACTTGGAGAGAAAGATGTACTTCCTGATGCTACTAGTGACAGTAACAGGAAGTATTATCATATGAGACATCTCATGGCATTACACGGAGCAGTCTGGTGAGTCTTTTTTCAGAGCTTTAGTATTGTAATTGGTGGATTTTGTGACAAAAACCATTTGCTTTTGTGTTTTTTTTGTAGTGAGGATAAGGTTAATGTTAAAGGGTACTTTGTGTGGTCGCTTATGGATGGACTAGAGTGGGAAGATGGATACAAGACGAGGTCTGGACTCTACTATGTAGACTATGCACACAATATGGGAAGGCACGAGAAACAATCTGCTAAGTGGCTCTCTAAGCTCCTTGAGAAAGTTCCTATTAAGTCCAAGGTAGATTTGGAATCAAGGAAGGAGTTATAAATAATCAGAGAAGATACTATAATATATCTGTTTAACCGATCATACTATATGTAATGTGTGTTCTTTTATATCTCCAAAAGAGTTTAAGCCATGGTATATGTAGTTATGTAATAGTAATCAATAAATAAAGAAGAACCTTGTTTCACACGTTAGGTGTAACAAAGAACAAGTTGCTTATGTAATGTGTGTTGTTACTAAGTATAGGCCTACAATACGCTGGGCTATGAAAAAAGCCCATAAGTAATAGTTTATTGGTTATTAACAAAATATAAATTAGAAGGCCCATAACTCTTGCAGTACTTTCTAACAAACGAAGGAAAATAAAAACTTACATATTTAGAATAGACATAGGATATGTGGGAAGCTACAAACGCAAAAGGTTAATACTCATAGACAGCAACAGAAATAGAAAAAGGTAAGATATAGTAGTATATGTATATAAGTCCACATGGTAGCCAATGGGAAAATGTGTGGAGTGAGTTTGAAAAAGATCCATATGCTAAGTCTCAAATATATGTTTTCTTCTTTGAGTTCAGAATTCAAGAACTAACCAAACATGCGTCTCCTACTCAGTGGTTATTGTGGTCGGTGTTGTCGCCTAGTGGCTTTATTTTATTGTTTAATACGATTATTAGTATAGTAATAATGTATAATCTTCTTCACTCGTTATTATAACTTTAATTGAATATTTGATTTAAATATCAAATTCTTTAATTTTAATTCAGTTTTTCTAACTTTTTTGTTACTACCGATCTCTTGTAGCCAAATTAGTTCTACCGATTCACATAAACAAGTTTTTGGTTTAAAAAAGTATAGTCTCCTTCTTCACAAAAATACTTGTAACTTACGAAATAAAAACATATTAATATTGTGATATATATTGGGCAGGAGAGTGATAAAAATATTTTAATTAGTGTTTGTCTAAGCATGATTTCGATTATGTATCAACTAAGTGAATATTCAATACTTGTAAGCTTTTACTTGATGTTTACAAGGTTAGATCTAATGGGCAGGATTTAGCTTTACAAAAAGTAATAGATTGTCTAAAAGTATCGGAGTAAGAACTTGCTTCGACTTGTTAATTACGGTTTATGTTTGGGAGAGCAGAAATCGACAAGAATAAAAATTCTGACGAGCCCAGCTGTCTGATGCTCTTCCATTTCCCTTTCTTTTATCTATTCAGTCAGAAATAAAATAATCCAAATTACTATGTAATGAATTAATGCAAAGTTTGTAGTAGAAAATGGGATGAAGAAGGTTTGATCTTAAATTAGTTAGTTGCTTAATTTTATTGAATGATCCTTAGATTAGTTAATGTGACAATTTGTCCTATGGTGTTGTCAACCATGTAAACTCAAAACACAAACATAGGTCTACGTTTTCCTTCCACTGATATCATACAAGTCTTTTGATCTTGCAGTACTTTTTGTGTTTGCCATGATCTTGCAGTACTTTGGGATCAATGTTCAGTTAGTTAGAATTATCAAATATTAAGTTGATTAATCAGATATTAATTGGCCACTCCCCTTAAATAATTTTCATATCATTATACAGACTGCAACTTACCATATACTCCTAGTTTGTTAACGAGGATAGTAGATTATATATATATATACAGCCCCACTTGGTCCTCAAATAAGACATAACTAGCTGCGACCGACTAACAGGACATTACTAATGCTTAAGAGTCGACTTGTTGATACATAAAAACTACAAAGGGTACAAATATCGACAACAACTACACAGTACTTAACAAATGGTATAATTTGTCATAGCCCAAGCTATATAGATCGACGTAATAGTAGCAATCTTTTAAAACATTAACTTTATATATAATCTGAAAAAAAAAGTGTTACAACGCCACTAATAGACTTGGACTTTATTTTGTTTTTCTTACTTCCAATGACATTCATCACTCTTCCCACGAACTAGCTTGGAGATCCCTAGACACAGATATTATTGCAAAACAATTACATTCCTAAGCTAAATCACTAAACTTATACGAAAACTTAAAATCTCTTTACCTTAGAAGAGATTTTGACTTCATTTTTTCTTTCGGAAAATAAATTACAAAATTAAGAAACGACATAAGCAACTTTGATTCACGGTATATAGACTCGGAAAGAAAAGAAAAAACGATGGAACGCAGCAATAAAGTCTAGCGGATTAACAAGGCATCTGTTGAAGAGCCACACAATCCAATAGTAGAGCCAGTTCATGTCTGTCTTGGAACCTGTTGATAAAAAACGAAAGACAAATAACAAAAAAAAACAAGAAGAACTTACAAAGAGAATGGAAATATATATAAACGGTACTAATTGATGAAATGGATCTATAAGAAAGAGTGATACGGATAGAAGAAACCCTAATGCCGAATACGATTTTCACACTCAAATTTTCAAAAGAAATCATTTAGGTTACCATGAGGAGAGAGAGATAGGGAGAGTAGAAAAAATATTTCAAAAAGAAGACAACAAACTAAAATAAAATAAATTAAGTTCCGATTTAGACAAGACTTAATATGTTATATATAAGACATTTACCAAAAAAAATTGAATTAGACATTAATATAGTACCATGCTTCGTCAACAGTTCTAGACATACATAATTAATTTAGACTTTTTATTAATTAATTGTTGACATTCTTTTTTCTTTTAAATATTAATTTAAAATTTCATATTTGCTTTTATATACAAGTAGTGAGCATAAACATGTACATCACAACATGAATGCTGACAAAAAACTAGCATTTTATATAGTTGCTTAAACTAGTACGTAAGTGAAAGAAAACATTTATCGAAGTAGTAATATGTACGTCGTTATGACAAATATATCAGTTCAAAAACATGAATTCTTATATTCAAGTAGTGAATAAGAAAATCATGGATAAAACTCGTAAATTTTTTCCTATTCAAATGTGGAAATCCTCGTCAAATCAACAAAGCTTCTGTTACATAAAGTCAAAATAGTGAATAAGAAAACCATGGATAAAACTCGTAAATTTTTCTATTCAAATATGGAAAACCTCGTCAAATCAACAAAGCTTCGGTTACATAAAGTCGTAACATATCATGTCCATTTACTCCACAAACTGACACTCATCAATTAGCATTATATTCGGTTTCTCTTACGAAAGACTATAGTATCATTAAATTACGATGATTAAAATATATTGTAGCAGACAATTTAGGACTTTACCACAATTGGGTTCCATCTCATTTCCTATTTCCAACACCAAAGTGAGGATCGAAAGATGGAGATGGAGAGAGAAAGAACAAAACAAAAGTATAATATTATAAAATTAGCTCGAAAACAAAAAATGTGATAAAGCTCTTCACGAGGAATTCAATCAGAAATAAAAATAAAAGCAAAAAATACATAGATGTGAGATTAAAATATTACCAGGAAATAAGCTTCCCCATGTTGTAAGCTATGCATCAAAAAACCAAACTCATCAGTAGGAAGAGGAACACCTGAGGAATGCACCAAAACTAAATCTTCTCCAAACGTTGCCTTCATGTCTATACCTCCGCTCGTCACTTCTGTCGGAACTCCGTTTATAAATACCGTTATAGATCCTGAATTTGCAAAATATCGCTAATAATAGTAAGAAAATTAGATTAGAAATACCTAACAAGAACAAGAGTAGACAAATTGGTAGAATAATTCATCTAATAGTCCAAGAAGTCAGTTCTTTGGTTAAATTCTCTGAAAGTTTAACTTGATTATTTTAGAACAACCTTTATAGTAAAAATAATGAGATCAAAGAGTTTTTTCTGAAATAAAAGAAAAGAAATTAATCTCAATTTTTTTCTTTTATATATAAACCAATATATTAGATAAATTGCTTTCAAGTACAAGATGTTAGGCGATATTGGAAAATATAATTAAATCCCCAAATAAATAAAATTTAGTCAGTTCGGTTGAAACCCACCCAGAATTGGATTTTTCCTAAGTTTAAAACAACTTTTACTATTTTATAATGGTACTTATGAAGACTTTATGGGGAAAGAAAGAGGGTTTAGAGGACAAAGCACTCGAGTTAAAAAAGCAAAAAGAGGCATGCAAATAAAATGTTTTGTTTACCTTGTTGGTAGTGATCATAATTGGAGCTTTGATCAGATGGGCACAACATTGATGAGAGATTTGAGCTATGATGTTGATATTGATGCTGACTAGCTTCATGGTAACCCATTTGACAAGACATTGTTAAGAGATTTTCCATGGCATTATTGCTATGATTATCACATCCACCACCGCCATAAGAAGAAGAAGAAGAAGAGCTAGCTGAAGAAGAAGTGGAAGAGGAGCTTGAACAAGGAAGAGAAGAAGCAAGACCAAGAAAATATGAAGGAGCTTGAGAGGATGACCCACCATATAAGTAATTTGAGGAAGTGCTACAACCTCCAAACCCCAAATCACTCCCACTATATTGTGGTAAGCTGGTGTTTACCATCATGGTCTGGTCACAAGTATTGGTGGTTGCGGCCGCTGCTGCAGCCTGAAGTTGCTTCTGCCTCCGCCGAGATCTTGACCGCCGGTTTTGGAACCAATAGAAGACATTTGCATCTCCCACCGTGCCAAATTTCTCGAGCATCTTTCTTATCCTTACCGTCTCTTCTTTGGGAGGGTTGACCATACCACTATTGAAGATCGACTCAAGTATGAGTATTTGTTCCGGTTTAGGTGACCATCGTGACCGAACCGTTTCGGTGGAGGTGGAACCGGAAGCCGATGAAGAAGGTGAGTGACTACGGCCGGTTGGGCTGTGTGGTGTTTGTTCGTGGTCCATTGCTTTCAAGAATATTGAATTGTTTCGTTGGTTCTTTTTTCTGTTGCTTATGGATAATTAAAGAGAAGAAATGTTTTTGTGAGGTGATGTCTAGAGGGTAAACCATAAATTTATAGTAGAATGATTTCTTTATATAATATATTTTCCTTGTTTATTAAGTTACTTGTAGATTATTTTTATATTTTAGTGGCTTCGTTAAATATATATGAATTATTTAAGCATATACTTACTTCCATTTGTCATATGCGTAATGTGGTACATTATTCTAACTTTCTAATCAAATTAATTGGGAGAGACATTAGTAATATATATTTCTCTTTGTACCTTTTAATTTTATTCCTTTTCATTTTCTTATATTTATTTAATGATTACCATGAAAGCCTAAATGTTATATTTAGAGAT